ATGTCCATTAACATGATAAATGGTTTTTCACCCCCTCACTTTCAATCTGGAGGTGTCTTTGGGTCTAAAATGAGTCTCTTGCAGACAGCATATCGATGGGTCTTGTTTTTTTTATCCAATCTGATACCCTGTGTCTTTTGATTGGGACATTTAGTCCATTTACATTCAGAGTAATTATTGAAAAATATGAATTTAGTGCCATTGTCTTACCTGTAAAGTCACTGTTTCTGTATATTGTCTCTGTTCCTTTCTGGTCTTTGTTACTTTTCAGCTCTCTCTTCACTTAAAGGAGCCCCTTTAATATTTCTTGCAGGGCTGGTTTAGTGATCACAAATTCTTTTAGTTTCTGTTTGTCCTGGAGGCTCTTTATCTCTCCTTCCATTCTGAGTGACCACCTTGCTGAATAAAGTATTCTTGGCTGCATATATTTCCCATTTAGCATGTTAAATATATCATGCCAGTCCTTTCTGCTCTGTGGCCAGGTCTGCTGCCAGCCTTATGTTTCTACCCTTGTAGGCTAAGGACCTCTTGTTCCAAGCTGCTTTCAGGATTTTCTCTTTATTTCTGAAATTTGCAAGCTTCACTATTATATGTCTAGATGTTGGCCTATTTTTATTGATTTTGAGGGGGCTTTTCTGTGCTTCCTGGACTTGAATGCCTGTTTCCTTCCCCAGAATAGAGAAGTTCTCAGCTATAGTTTGCCCCTCTCTCTCTTTCTTCTTCTGGGATTCCAATTATTCTAATGTTGTTTCATCTTATGGTATCACTTATCTCTCGAATTCTGCCCTCGTGATCCAGTAGTCATTTACCTCTCTTTTCCTCAGATTCCTTATTTTCCATCATTTTATCTTCTATATCACTGACTCTCTCTCCTGCCTCATATATCCTAGCAGTTAGGGCCTCCATTTTTTTATTGCATCTCAGAAATAGCCTTTTTGATTTCGACCAGATTTTAGTTCTTTTATTTCTCCATGAAGGGGTTGTCTAGTGTCTTCTTTTTTTTTTTTTTTTTTTAAGATTTTATTTATTTGACAGAGAGAGCACAAGCAGAAGGAGAGAGAGGGAGAAGCAGGCTCCCTGCTGAGCAAGGAGCCTGATGTGGGACTCGATCCCAGGACCCTGGGATCATGACCCGGGCCGAAGGCAGCCGCTTAACCAACTGAGCCACCCAGGCGTCCCGTCTAGTGTCTTCTATGCTTTTTTCAAGCCCAGTTATTATCTTTACAATCTTGTTTTGAATTCTAGTTCCAACATCTTACTTATACCCATATTTATTAGATCCCTAGCTGTGATTTCTGCCTCTTGCTCTCTTTTTGGGGGTGAGTTCTTCCATCTTGTCATTATGTCCAGAAAAGAATAGATGAAAGGGAGGGAAAATACAAATATAGCAACAATGACACCAGAAAAATATACACAAATCAGAAGAGAACCAAAACCAAAAAGAAAAGAAAAAGAAAAAAACTGAGAATAAAATCAAACAAGTAGAACAGAACAGAACAATAAACTGGATCCTGAGTGTATTTGGTCTGTTTATTAGAAGAAACTAGGTCCCAACATAGGCAAGAAAGAAAACCTCATATATATAGAAAAAATGTAGTTGAATACAATGAAATGAAGTCAAAAATGAAAAATATATATACAACTGTAAGTGTAAAAATGAAAATTTAAAAAGACTTAAAAAATAATTGATAAGATAATAGTTGAAAAGGATAATAAAATATAAAACTGAAGGGCTAAAGGATAATAACTATACCAGAAAAATATACACTACACTAATCAGAAGAGAACAGAAACCAAACAGAAAAAAAAGAGGGGGGGAGGGAATGGGAATAAAATCAGACAAGAAGTTGAACCAAACAGAACAGTAAGCTAGATCCTGGGTGTATTTTGGTCTGTGTGTTAGAAGAAACTAGAATAGGTCTCCCAAAATAGGTCAGAAAGAAAAACTTATATATATATATACAAAAATAAAGTTGAATACAATGAAAGGAAGCCAAAAATGAAAAATATATATATAAATTATAAGTGAAAAAATGAAAATTAAAAAAGACTTTAAAAATAATTGATAAAATAAGAAAATAGCTGAAAAGGATAATAAAATATAAAACTGAAGGGCTAAAGAATAATAAGAAAAAACCACTTCTATATACTTCTTTCCCCAAGAGCTGGAGTTTTACAGTTCTGTATGATTGGCAAACTTGGTATTTGCCAGAAGTTCCTGCTGGTTGGTCTTCTGGGGGAGGGACCTGTTACCTGATTCTCAGGTGTCTTTGCCCCGGCGGAACTGCACCGCCCTTGTCAGGGGGCCAGGCTCAGTGTAAGTGGGCTCCAGAGCTGGTGGGGGGTGGGAGTGAAAAATAGCTGTGCCCCAATCTCTAGCCCAGGAGCTGAAAATTCGTGTCCCCCACTCTTCGGTGCACCCTCACAGAAAAGTGGTCAATCCCCACTGTTGTCTCCTCAGTTTCCATACACACTCTGTGTTAACACAGCCTGTGACTGAGCATTTTTATCTCAGGCACTCCACCCCAATTCGAGTCTCCAAACTTTATGAACTCTTGCGGCGTGCATGCACACCACTCCTCCCAGGGTAGGGAAGGGGTTCTCACTGCAGTTCTGCCTCTTGCTGGGCTCCTGCTCAGAGAGCGTTAGATGGACAGGCAGTTCTCAGTTTATGAGAACAACACCAAGCAGTAAGCTGGAGCCTGGTCTCACTGTTTGCAACTGGCTGCCCCACTCCAATGCCTGGGAACTCTGCTGCACTTGGGCACCCCCATTCTTTTTGTGACCCCGGGGATCCTGAGACCAAGCTATCCCACCTGGGATTCCGCCTGCTTCGCCTCCTGAGTGCCTTTCAGGTAAACTTCTAAAAGTTCCGATTTTGTGCTCTGCTGCTTATGACACTTCCTGGTACCCAGCTTACAGAGGCTCCTTCCCTCCAGGTTTATCTTCCAGGGCACTGCTTCAGATTCACATCTCCTACCTCCTACCTTGCAAAAAGTGGTTGCTTTTCTATTTGTAGAATTGTAGCAATTCTTTTCTCAGATCTCTGGTTGATTTTGCAGGTTTTCAGAATGATTTGATAAATATCTAGCTGATTTCCAGGGACCAGATGAAACTAGGATCCCCTACTCCTCCACCATCTTGGAGGGTCTTCTTATTAGCAAGTCTTAAGTGACCAACTCTAATGTTCTACCTTTACAGAACAAATAAGTGTTATGCAGTCACATACAAGTACTAGCCTTTACGAGCCATCACCAAAATGAAGGCCATTTCCCTATTCACACCTGCTAACTGCATAGGAACAAAATCTTAAATGATTTGTGAGAATTCATTTAAAAATTTCACCAAATAACTTGGTGATACATATAAAAAACATCACTTGGCATGAGGGAAATACAAATCAAAACCACAATGAGATACCACCTCACACCTGTCAGAATGACTAAAATCAAAAACAGAAAAAACAACAAGCGTTGCCAAGAATGTAGAGAAAAAGAATCCTCATGCACTGTTGGTGGGAATGCAAACTGGTGCAGTCACTGGAAAACAGTATGGAGGTTCCTCAAAAAATTAAAAATAGGATTACCATATGATCCATTAATTCCACTACTAGGTATTTACCCAAAAAATACAAAAACAGTAATTCAAAAATTATAAACACCCTCATATTTATTGCAGCATATCTGCATTAGCCAAATTGTGGAAATGGCCCAGTGTCCATCAATTGATGTATGGATAAAGAAGTGGTCTATATATATATATACACATATATATACATATACGATGAAATATTATTCAGCCATTAAAAAAGAAGGAAATCTTGCCATATGCAACAACATGGATGGACCTAGAGGGTATAATACTAAGTGAAATATGTCAGTCAGAGAAAGACAAGTACCATATGATTTCACTTACATGTGGAATTTAAGAAACAAAACTAATGAACAAACAAAAAAAACAGATACATAATTCAGAGAACAAACTGGTGGTTGCCAGAGGGAACATAGCAGGGATGGGTGAAACAAATAAAGGGAACTAAGAGTACACTTATCTCAATGAGCACTGAGAAATGTACAGAATTGTTGAATCATATTGTATACCTAAAACTAATATTACACTGTGGGTTAATTATACTTGAATAAAAAAAAAGGAAAAAGGGATAATTTGTATTAGGAAGTATAATGTGTGGTAAGCCTATGGGAAGATCCTTCATAAATTTTGGGTAAAGGACAAAAAATTTAAATCTACAGATAGTGTAAGTTTTTTCAAGCTCTGCTTTAAGAACTCCAATAAGTAAAATCTGGACTTGCATAATAAGTCAGAGAATCATGATGTATATTATGAAAGGATTACTGACTTCATGAAAGATTTTATCACACAATTTCTTAAATAGCTGCTTTTCTCATACATTTTGGTATTTTAAAAATAATTTCCTATTTGACAAATGAGCCACCATGTGCCTTGGGACAAGTCACTGAAATTCTCTTGGCTCAATTTCCTCATCTATATAATAAGGATGGTTTTAACCATGCTGCCTGCCTCACTCAGTTTTCATGACTATATAAAGGTACTTTGAAAGCTATATATACATATTTTTATGGCTGTTGCTTTTTTTTTAAGATTTTATTTATTTATTTGAGAGAGAGTGCAGGCACAAGCGGGGATAGGGAGAGAGACAAGCAGAACCCCCATGGGGTTCAATCTCACAACCTCAAGATCAGGACCTGAGTCAAAATCAAGAGCTGGATGCTTAACCAACTGAGCGACCCAGGCACCCCACGTCTGTTGCTTTTAAGAGAAATTGTGGGGGGGGGGTACTTTCCAAACTTTATTATTATCACTAAATATGTATTTTTTTATATTTTAGCAGTATCTTAAAAATCAATTTTAGATGACACATTCCCTCTATAAAAATCAAATCTTTCCTTGGTTCATGATCTACTTTTCTCATTTCTTAGTTCTTCTGAAGTTACATATTGTTATTTCCATGGTCTTCATACCTGGATTATGAGTGGCTCCAGTAGCTTCTCTACAGTGAATGTTTGTACCTGCAGATCCTGAGGATTAATATTCAATGTGATTGGTGTTTCAGCCGACATGCTGCCTGTGCATAAAAACAAAAAGACACTTATTAATAAAGAAAAATGCTTTCTAAAGGGAAGCACTAATGAAAATCATAGAGTACATGAGATTTGTACTTAGCACCTCTTCCTGATATCAGCTGTAGCCCTCAGAGGACCAGGGTGACAAGTCCCCCAACAGAGAAATGAGATATTCCTTCCCCGTCTGTTCTCTGGTCATGTGGTCTAGCCTTAGATCCTCTAACAAATTAATCTATGTTAGTATGTTCATAACTAAAATAATAACCCAGGGTGGGTTTGCATTTGTTCAGGAGTCTCAAGTAAAAATGAATGGCCAAGTTGGTGAGACATATCTTACAGCATGCAAGTCCTCTGACTTCCAAAAAATCATGGCACTGAGGTAGCCAGTGCTCATATTTTGCTTCTTCTTGTTAATGTTAACTCAGATGAGGAGCCAAGTAGGACTTTGGAAGATGTGATACATCTCTATTTGTTTGGGGAACTGTTTGAGGGGGTTTTTTTGTTTTTTTTTTAAAGATTTTATTTATTTATTTGACAGAGAAAGACACAGCGAGAGAGGGAACACAAACGGGGAGTGGGAGAGGGAGAAGCAGACTCCCCGCCGAGCAGGGAGCCCGATGCGGGACTCGATCCCAGGACTCCAGGATCATGACCTGAGCCGAAAGCAGTCGCTTAACCAACTGAGCCACCCAGGCGCCCTGTTTGAGGGTTTTGACTGAATAAGAAAGTTGGGGGCAGTTTACTTTCCTATACAGAAAATAAACTAATTTAAATTGGCATAGTTACTATAAAAAGAGAGAAAGGATGGATATTTGGGCAAGACAAAATAAGAAAAAAATGACAAGCCATCTTTAAGGCATTAACATTAATCTTAAAATCAGTGAGATTTTTGCATAAGAATACATAGATATCTCAAATAACCACACATGGCATATATATCATAACATATTCAAATTAAAATTGGCCATAAAAACTATTACCCAAATTTCCAAGTCCACAAATTTGTATTAACTTATTCACAGTCAAGTACTTACTAAAGGCTCACAGAGATAAGCAGTAAGAAACATGTATCACCTATATGTAACTTAGTCTGTTAAAAAATAAATAAATTTATAGTCGAAAGAAACATGTTACCATCAATACAAAAACCTTCCCACTTAGATATTACCCATTTTCTTCTATATTTGCAGGCAAGAAAACATAAGATTCCACCCCCAGAAAATATTCAGATATTCCCTATGGCACCCATGGAAACTAAAACAAAAATATTTAGGAAGTACTACAGTAGTCCCCCCTTATCTAGAGTTTTGCTTTTTGTGGCTTGAGTTACCCAATCGACATATCATCAGAAAGTAAATAGAAGCCTCATGCTACATCACAATGCCTAGGTCATTCACCTCACTTCATCTCAACAGATAAGCAGTTTACCATCACCCAAGATGAAGACTGAGTACAATAAGATATTTTGAAAAGAGAGAGACCATATCATATAACTTTTATTACAGTATATTGTTATAATTGTTTTATTTTATTAGTTATTATTATTAACCTCCTACTGTGCCTAATTTATAAATTAAACTTTATCACAAGTAGGGGCGCCTGGGTGGCTCAGTCATTAAGCATCTGCCTTCAGCTCAGGTCATGATCCCAGGGTCCTGGGATCAAGCCCCACATCGGGCTCCCTGCTCCGCAGGAAGCCTGCTTCTCCCTCTCACACTCCCCCTGCTTGTGTTCCCTCTCTCACTGTGTCTCTCTCTGTCAAATAAATGAATAAAATCATAAAAACTTTATCACAAGTATATATGTGGGAAAAGGGAAGGGAGGAAGGAAAGAATGAGTACATATTTTCATGGTGTTTCTCTTATCCAGAATCAATGCCTTCGACACTCCTTTCCATCCCAGTGATTCTAGGAGAGAGGACTGTTCTTTTTTCTATACCCCTGCCTCCAACCCCAAGGGATAACAGAGTCTCAGGGTAGGGCCCATGTTCCCTCCCAACTGTTTCCCCTGAGAGTCTATTCCCATTCTCCTCCTAGACTTTGTCAACATCCATTGGCCTAGCTCCATATAATCAGCATCTCTTTGCTCATCAACCTCTCCCACTCTAGTGGATCCTTCCCTAGATCCATAAATGTGTTACTGCATATATTCCAAAGATAATCATGATCTCCACGTGTATGTGTAAGTGAAAAGGTCAGTGTTTCACAAGGCCTTTCCACACTGTACACCTGATACACATGCAGAGAGAGACATACACATGAAACCATCCTATAACTAAAATTAACTTTTATCTTGATGAAATCTAATTCTTAGGTTAATAACATAATTTTTTATTTATTTTTATTTTTTATTTGGTTTTGTTTTTGGGTGGGGGGAGCACCAAGGGAGAAGGAGAGAGAGAATCTTAAGCAGGCTCCATGCCCAGCGCAGAACCTGACACGGAGCTTAGTCTCACAACCCTGAGATCATGACCTGAGCTGAAATCAGGAGTTGGATGCTTAACTGACCAAGCTACCCAGGAGCCCCCATAATTTTTTTTAAACAGAGGCAAATACTATAAAAGTTATACACCGATTTTTAACTGTGCAAGGAGGGGGAATGTCAGTGCCCTGAATCCCCACATTGGTCAAGGGTCAACTGTACTATAAATGTTGAGAATTTTATATAAAACCCACCAACACTGTTGATTTCAGAAAGAGAGCACACCTTCTGAAATGTAGCACATTTCTACACACAATCAAATGGCCTGTGCAGGGCATCTTTGCCCCCTTTCAGACTATCGTGTTGTGCTGTCTTCAGTCTATCCTTAACTCTACCACAAGCCACTCATACAAAGTGCCTACAATTCTTTTACTTTTTAAAAGACATTTTTGCCTTGGAAAAAAATACTATTCAAATTGCATTAAGTGAAAAAATATTGCTTGAATTTCTTTTCAAATGAAAGAATAAATTACTGTTATTCTATGATATAAAAATATATGAAGCATTTGAAATATGCTTCAAGTAAAATATGTTCCTGTTGAAAAAAAAAATAACTTTAAGAGTCTCATTTAAAATAAAGCATATCAGAAGGGAGATGGGTGGGAGGATGGGTGAAACAGGTGAAGAGGATTAAGAGTACACTTATTGTGATGAGCACTGAGCAATGTATAGAATTCTTGAATCACTGTACTATACACCTGAAAATAATATAACACTGTATGTTAACTACACTGGAATTAAAATTTAAAACTCAATTTTAAAAATCATGGGTTTAAAAAATAGAGAGAGAGAGATACAAAGCCATATGACTTAGGCCTTTACTACCTTGTTTTTCTTCCCTTTTCACTGGTTTTATTTCCTTTCTAAAAGTAAAAACATGATCTTTTTTCTCAGCTATTCATCTGAAATACAGAATATATGTTTCAAGAAAGGCTCCATCACTATTGCCAAGTGGTTTCTCTCAAATGCATTTCTAGGACTGAAATGTTTTGTTTTGGTTTGGCTTGGTTTTGGTTTTGGTTTTGGCTTTTTCCAATCATTCCACCTACCACTTTGATTCCCTCTAACAGAAGCAAATCCAAATTGACAAATAGGATACTCCCATGATGACCCTTCTGCATAGCCTGGAGCCAATACATACAATAAAGGTTGTCCTTCAGTCTCCATAACACCATAGGGTTCTATCAAATGAGTACTCACAAAGCAGTTCATTTGTTACCCCTTTCATGATGGGTACTATCCTACACAAAAATCAAGTCAAGATTACTGACATTGCTTTGTTCTTTCATATCAGAGACAAAAGTAGAGGACACTGTTGTGAACTAAAATAAGATCTAAGGGAACTTTCACAGCCTTTAAAAACATGTGCTTTCACAGAAATCCATTCACAGTGGATTTTCAAAGCTACATTGAGCACCAGAAATTGGAGGCAAAGAAAATAAAAAATAAGAATAAAAATTATTCACATCATAAATAATCCTGCTAGAAAAATGTTTTTCAACAAAGAGATAAAAGACAAACCTAATTCAGCCAAAGTATCTTCTAAATCTGTGATCATGTCTTTAATACACATTAAGTAAAGAAAGTTGTTGAGAAAATGGTGTTGGGAAAATTGGATAGCCACATGCAGAAGATTGAAACTGGACCATTTCCTTACACCACACACAAAAATAGACTCCAAATGGTTGAAAGACCTCAATGTGAGACAGGAGTCCATCAAAATCCTAAAGGAGAACACAGGCAGCAACCTCTTTGACCTCAGCCGAAGCAACTTCTTCCTAGAAACATCGCCAAACGCAAGGAAAGCAAGGGCAAAAATGAACTATTGGGACTTCATCAAGATAAAAAGCTTTTGCAAAGCAAAGGAAACAGTCAACAAAACCAAAAGACAACCGACAGAATGGGAGAAGATATTTGCAAATGACTTATCAGATAAAGGGCTAGTATCCAAAATCTATAAATAACTCATCAAACTCAACACCCAAAGAACAAAGAATCCAATCAAGAAATGGGCAGAAGACATGAACAGACATTTTTTCCAAAGAAGACATCCAAATGGCCAACAGACACATGAAAAAGTGCTCAATATCGCTCAGCATCAGGGAAATCCAAATCAAAACCTCAATGAGATACCACCTCACACCAGTCAGAATGGCTAAAATTAACAAGTCAGGAAACGACAGATGTTGGCGGGGATGCGGAGAAAGGGGAACCCTCCTACACTGTTGGTGGGAATGCAAGCTGGTGCAACCACTCTGGAAAACAGTATGGAGGTTCCTCAAAAAGTTGAAAATAGAGCTACCATATGATCCAGCAATTGCACTACTGGGTATTTACCCCAAAGATACAAAAGTAGGGATCCGAAGGGGTACATGCACCCCGATGTTTATAGCAGCAATGTCCACAATAGCCAAACTGTGGAAAGAGCCAAGATGTCCATCGACAGATGAATGGATAAAGAAGATGTGGTATATATATACAATCGAATATTATGCAGCCATCAAAAGGAATGAGATCTTGC